GGTACAAGTAACATAAGATCTCACATGTATTGTATTTTGTACTCTTTTTTAAATAACCTACTATAATCAAGCAACTTCACTTCAATTTCTTTTATACAATTATTTCGCATTTTGTACTACCAAGTTTGAAGTATTTCCGGTATACATCATTAACAAAAGTACTACTAAATTAAATTCAAGTATTATTTTAGTACTTCCTTTGTTTTTAATATAAGAGTTAGTCTAATTTTTAATTTGGCCTCAAATATTAAATTTTAATTTATTTTGTCTCTCATATTTATCTATTTTTTTAAAGTGATCTTTGTACTAATTGCATATATTAAAATTTTATGATAGTTTTCAATATATTTGATTAGCAAAAGTATTTTATAAAAAACATACTTATTTATTATAAATAACTAATTTAATTATTTTTTTAATTTATTAAAATTAGTCAATTAGATTTTATATTAAAAACTGAAATTAGTATTATTTCGTTTAACTATATTTTTTTTTTTTGAGTTGGCAAAGCGGAAAAGTCAGCAGGTTGGAACACGCACTGTTAACATCATATGGACGCCTCCTGTACAACTCGAGCCACCGCTCCGTGGTATTGAAGTTTTTTTTTTTTTTTAAATTTTTTATTTAGCATAATTTTTTTATATACTTTTCATATTCAACTTACAAGACAAAAAAAAAGTACATATCTTTTTGTCTTATTTATGAGTCATTATTAGATTTTTTATATGAATATATAATTGTACTTTTCACGTATTATTTGTGTGAATAAGTCATTCAAATAACGAGTACATACATATTTTTTAATCCATTTATAAGACATTTTAGCATGTTTTACATAGGCTAATGAAAAATTTTAAATTATAGCAACTCTTTTTTAAATATAGTAATTTTTTTAACTTTACATCAATTTAATATATACACATTTTAAAGAAATAACCATCTATATCATAATAAATAAAAAATAAAATAGTACATTCATATTAAGAGTTAAATGAGTTGATTTATAAATAAGACAAAGAAACCATCTCTCTTCTTTTGCCATAAAAAAATTCTCTCTTTGGACCAGAGTGAGTATTAAATAAGCATAGAAAATGTTACTAAATTTTAAGATAGAGTTAATAAAATTTAAATTTTTTAAATAAAACGCATTAAAAATGTCATATAAATATAATCAGTAGTACAGCTACAATTTAATGATGTGTCACTAAGTTTTGGGTATGGGCATTTCATGATAGAATCAAATTGGTTACATGTGAGGAATTTATTGTCTGCCATTCATTTTAATGACAATTCAGTTTCCATCACTTTCATTTCCTCCTTATTTATCTTTCGTTATTTGTCTTGCATCATCTTCACTCATAATGGCAATTTCACAAGATATTGAAATACAAACAAAACTGATCACATATTATGTAAAAGTAGAATTGAGGAGTATTCTTATCTTTATTATTTATTGAGATAATTCTTAATTTATTCTAAATAAATAATTCACTTTCTAAATTTTTATACGAATTTTCTTAAAAAAATATTTTGTAGATATATATATACACGGGGTAGATGTTAATTATATGTTAAATAGTGTCATTATACTATGATTTGAGTTCTAAGTTCTAACCCATGATCACTTGTCTTCCTCCACAGAACAAAAATTATAGATCTTAGTAATAATAATAACTGAAATTTACCTTTAGTAATTACTTAAAGATTAAAATTGAAATTGACATTTCAAGAATATGATCTTTTATGTAACTTTCATCCCCCTTCTCATGCTCATAAACATCATCTTCCTCCATTTATTCTTCACCTAAGGCCTTTTTTTTTTTTTGCAATTCTTTAAAAATGAAATATATTTACATTGAAAAATTTTAAATTTTTAAAATTATGATGAAACACCGCATGATTAAAAATTTAAATAGCATAGATAAATTTTATGAAATAAGATCTTCAAATTTAACTTTTAATTTTTGAACAAAAATAAGTTAAATTTTTTGTATTTTATTTTTTAATATACATATCTTTAATTTAAATCATCAACTATATATATATTTTCAGGAGGTGTTTCGCATCACATAAAAGTGCTTTTCAAAAATACTTTTTCGCTGATAGAGAAAAACTCTTCCACATATTTATTTTGTATGCTGTTTAAAATCATTGTTTAGTTTTCATCTAAATATTTCTGTGTTTTAGTGTTTATTTAAATTTTCTTTCAAATTGTCTTTTGTTTTTTATTTTCGAAATCTCTCTCTCTCTCTCTCTAATATACCGTAATGCTACTTTTACCATTTTGACCAATACCCGAAAAGTTTGTGGCTCCCACGTCGTCATTGTCTTACCTCGGAACCACACAATGCCTGTAGGAGGGCCGAGACCCAAACCTGTAATCTCGTTCAAACTCTTGGGGAGACAAACGTCATTGTCTCAAAACATTTAGGGTATTTCAGTAGTTTCATATGCTCTGTTTTTTGCCTCTCAGTGTATATCCTCCATTCTTTACGTTCAAGAATGGCTTGCAGAGTTGGCAATGTCCTCTGCTTCTCTCTTCAGCTACGCTCGTTGATCCGTACACACACGAAAAACCCGTTTCTCACTATCCAATTGCGTCCTTCTCCATGGCAGTTAAGCTGCTCCAATCTCCTTCTCACCTACTTTTTCCCTCTAAAATTTGCAAAAGCAAGTTAATTCGTTTCTTTCTTTCACACCATTCTTTCATTTATTGCTAGAAACTCGTACATTCATTCACAGTTTCATACGGTCCTCTATTAATTCATAAATATCAGCGTGGTTGTCCTCTTCTCCTTTGAGTTTTGCTGTTTCAGAGTGAGGAATAGAGTGGGAGAGAGGGAGAGAGAGGAAGAATCTAAAGATGCCGTTGGTGAGGTTGCAGGTGCGAAATGAATACGGTTTTGGGCAGCCTGAGCTGTACAAAGAGACGAACAGAGAAGATCCCAAGGCCGTGCTTGACGGGGTCGCTGTGGCTGGGCTAGTTGGGATCTTGAGGCAGCTGGGTGATCTTGCTGAGTATGTTTTCCTACTTCGTTTGAACTTCTCTGTTTGCTCCAATTGGTTCATTCTGTCTTAATTTGTTCGTGTTTGGTTGATGGGGTAGTGCATTAAGGGTCATTAAGGAGGTCAGTTTAGCTGCTAGCAATGTTACCGAGTTTCTTTGTGGAAAGGATGTCACTCAGTCGTTGAGATTGGAGTATGTTTTGGGTTAGGCTAACTTTCTTCTTGTAAATTGACAAAATCGTCTGACATGTTGGAGCTTTCCCATTAGAGGGGTTTAAGCTTGACTGGCGATTGCAAATTATATCTGTAATATTTTAGTGTCTTTTATATTTGAATAGTCGCTCTGTTTCTTGCCTTTTAACAATTTCTGGGTTTAACATCGGTTGCAATTAACAGCAAGAAGGCTTTTGCCTAAAATAGCTTTTTTTTTCCTTTATTTTTTTTAAGCTCTAGTTCCTTGAACTGGTTCTTTCTTCTTTCATCTATTTCAAATTAATGAAAGTTAGTATTTTATATGTAACGAATCTATTATATATTTATAAATTTACATATATCACTTAGAAGGATGAGAAACTTTACATAAGGACCAGGGAGTTGACCCTTTGTTTTCTCTTGAGAGGTGACTGCAATTTTGACTTTGTACTTGAGGCTGGTGACTGTTCGTTATGTGAATGTGTCTTCGGATATGGTGTAAATATGTTGAAGGCTTAAATCTGGGAGCTAAAATTTTAATTTTGTAGTGACGAATATTGATATCTTATAAGTTTCGATGAATAATATAGAACCACTCGTCTAATATATCTGTTCTCCATGTTTCTCTTGAAAACTTGTCATCACTTTCCGATTGTACATAGCTATTTGCTCCACGTGAAGCTGGAATCCTGATCGAAATTCCTTTATATTAAATCTTAAACTTATATGTATCTAACCAAACCAATAAGGCCACACCATTCACCTCTCAATCTTTATTAGGCAAAGGTTGCTTTTAATTTAGAAGCTTCTCTTTGAGCTGAACTGTTTCCTTGTTGTGCATCAATAAAACAGTTTGAGAGGTGTTCCATAGTGACAAATGCGTCCTTAATTTTCCCTTTGTTTCACCTACTACATTTTTTTCTCCGCCATGTTGGTCAAAGGTTGTCTGTGGTAGTCGTTGAAAGAAGAACATACGAGAAAGTTTGATTGCATGCCAATTTGGTAAAAGCAAAATGGTGCTGTCTGTTGCAAGAGGAATAGCCTATTAAGAGACATTGAGAAGTTGGGAAAGCCTTCTAGGTTTTGAAAATACTTACTTGATTGGTCAAAAGAGCATAATGGAGAAAAAAGTTACTTCACTTGTGCACCGAAGGTAAAAGGTATATGATACTGTATAAGCGTCTACATGTGTTTATAGTACTCTGTTTGGTGTCTCTTTCTTTTCTCCCTTCCATTTTCTTTGCCTCGTTTCTCTTACTAGTCATCTCCAAATTTGGAAACCCTAGCTATTGAAGGTGTCTGATTCTGATATAATGAAGAAGTGGACATGTAGGATCTTTTAATTTGCATTATTTTTCTATTGTTTCATCTCCAAAATTCACACTATGGTAGCGTGTACAGTATTGTTGGTTTGACTAAACACCAAGCTTTACATGGCATCCAACATCTGCCAATTGCACACAGAAAAAAAGACCATAGTTTCCCCTTGTTTTTGTTTTTGCTCAAATTATATTATATAAGAATGTTGTTGAAGCGAACTACTTAAAGTTATAATTGATAAGATTTTAACAGTTATTGAAAATATAAAGCAGTAAAATAAATTCACGCCCACGCCCACACCCACACTCACCCACACAGACACAGACACAGAGTTGGAGTATCATACCATAATTCTGTGCCTTTCTGTAGATATTATATATCTTCATCGTTCATCTTATTTCATTGATCCGTGTCAACTGATTGTTTATTGTATATTTAGCGTTCCCTGTTCTTGATTGATAATTGGTGTTAGATCCATTATTCTTTGCTTACTAAACATTGTTTTTATATTGAACTTGTCAATGCCCAATTTAACCTTGGACATTCATGTGACTGTCGTTTAACTGAGGAAACTTTTCCTTGTGTAGTTTTGCAGCAGAGGTTTTCCATGGCTTACAGGAGCAAGCAATGATTACAGCTAATAGGAGCCACAAATTGATGGTTCGTGTTCAAAAAATTGAATCTTCTCTTCCTCCCTTGGAGAAGGCTGTATTAGCACAGACTAGCCACATACATTTTGCATACACAGCTGGTATGGCCTTTGTGGTCAGCGATTTCATTCTATCTGCTAGATGTTATATTCATGGATGTAGATTATAATATTTCCTCTTTGAATGTATATTGCTTTTGGAAATTAGAGTTGTTCTCCTTCCCAGTATGATGCCAATACTTTGTTCCTGTAATTTTGACATCTTATTAACTTCTATGTCCAAATTGAATAAAATGAACTTGTGATGTTTATTCAATTCATGTTTTATCATTTGACTATCTTGTAAATGTTTTAATAAATATTTTCTTAAAATAAGTCTATATATAAACATACTGCTAAACAGTAATCTACATTTTAGAACTTCTATTAAGGGAATTCGGGTAAAAGAATCCCTTAATATATATAATTATGCTCACCAGGTAGCTGATATTGACATGTGGCTGGTGTAGATGCATCTCCTTTCTATTCATTGGATGGTATTTGCTATTCACACAGCTAAAGAATTCTCTAATATTGTGAAATTTTACTCTAGATGTTGCCTGGTATGTATTATTAGATGATGTTGCCTTACCTATTGGTATGCTATTGTTAAAATATAGACTTTTATCAGCATGCAATTTCTGGATGTTAGATTACCTTTGTGGAAGAAAAATTGGATCTCTAATATAATTGAAGTTGTATGCTGGTTTGCCCTATCATACGAGCTTCATTTTTGCCCATTCATTTTCACATTCTGTTGTTTTATTCTTTGGGTTCAGTAGTGCTAGAGAATGACAATTGGTATGTCTTGTGATTAAAATTGATTAAAATTTTTATATTCAGATGATATAAAAGTCCATAATGAAAGCAGTTACCTTTCAGGTTGTGAATGGCATCCTCGCATAAAAACAAAAAGAAATCATTTCATTTACAGCGACTTGCCGCAGTTTATTATGGACTCATATGAAGAATGCCGTGATCCTCCTCGCCTGAACTTACTTGATAGGTATGCCCAATATATATATATATATATATATATATATATATTTATTTATTTTTTCAATTATCTTTCTCCTCCCTCTGTTTTCTTTTAAATTAAGATAAGATACCAAGCGTTGTTCAGTACCAAGGCTTGAGTTAGTTTCTCATTTGACTAATGAATTTTTACTGTTTCAATCAGATTGATGCTAATATCTCTAACCTGTTATGTTTTCTTTGGACTTAAAAGTGACCAGTAGTAGTGTTGATAATCCAGTTTAAATTAAATCCCATAAGTTTTTTTTTTGGATAATTAAATCCCATAAGTTAATGAAACAAGTCCTTTGTCATTCAGATTTGATGCTGGTGGCCCAGGATCTTGCTTAATGAGATATTCAGATCCAACCTTCTTCAAGAGAGTCTCAGCTTATTCAGATGAAGCATACTCCGAAAAATTTGAAAGAGCTAGAAAATCTCGTAAAAGCAAGGTACATTGCTAATTGAAGCATCAAATTGAAAGATGATTCTATGGCTAAGTTTAATTTCTTTGGTGCATTTAATTACTCTATAAACAAATTTTTGGTTCTTATATCAAGAAAATGTTGAACAGAAGAAAAGGTCATTTAGAAGGAAAGAAGGTTTGCGAGGTGAACAAATGCATAACATTAGTGGGAGGTATTACATCTATTTGTGTATTGGTTTCTCAGGTATCTATGCAAGTGCTACTTATTCCAGGTAAATGCTGACATGATGTATCATCTCTGTACAGAATGCACTTTGTTCCTTCCGCTGTCAATAGACGAACTTCTTCCTTACAAGCAGCATCCACGGTGGACATGGCAATGAAATCAGATTCAGAAGATCATTCAAATTCTTTAGATTCAAGAGCTGGTGCTGACTACATTGAATGTGTCTTCCATCCGGGTAATTCCATGCAACGTGATGATCAGGATTATGAGCCATTATCTTCTTCTAGGGTAAAAGAAAAAGCAAATACTGTTTATTCAGTATCTTCTCTTGTGGATGATAATATTTCAATTGATTCATTGGAAAAGCAAAATGCCTCTAGTTCGTCAGGTGTTACTTGGGAAGAAAAGGAAGAGATTGTGGAACCTATGAGTCAAACCTATGATAAAGATAAAATAACAGAGATGCATGCTCAAAAGCAAGATCCAAATATGCGTGACTGTAAAGGTGTTACCTTGACAAAAGTTGATTACAGTGATATCCTATCTGATGAAGAAAGCTACCTGAAACCTGTTGTTAGCAGCGTCCAAACAGAAGAAATTGATAGCGAACCTGATAAGTACATGGATGCACGTAATAGCATTGAGTTAGAATCTGAAAATGATCTTGATTGTGAAACAAAGCGAGAAGTGGATAAAATCACCTCAAGGGTCACTGATGGAATAGCAGAAAATGGAATTGGCGGGGTTGATTCTAATGTACTAGACCACAATTTATCTTTCATTGTTTCACAGACTCTATCCAGTGCTTCATTTGACGATGGAACAAGCAATGACTTCCCAGATCCACTGCAAGTAAATCCACCTCTCATATTGGATCTGTGTGCATCTAAATCAGAAGCTCCTGTTAACAAAGAAATGTCCAGGGATTTACCTGATTCTGAAGACTTTGAGAGCCCCATCTTTGAACAGGCGTCCAGTGTATCAAGTGTTTCATTAAAAAAAGAAGTAGTTGGGGGCTTCCCAGATTCACTACTAGTAGATCCACCTCCTGTATCAGATCTCTATGCAACTAAATCAGAGTCTTCTGTTAATGAAGAAATGCCAAGGGTTTTAGCTGATCCTCAGGTCTCTGAGAGCTCCATCCATGAAGAGAAGCCTAGCATTTTTGAAAATTCTGCTGTTGCCTGCTCAGTAAGCACTGATTCTTTGGGTTGGGCACATGCACTTAAAGATATTGTCTCACCATCCATTGAAAGTGATATATCATTCTCTGGTTCTAAAAGTTCTGGTTTACCACATGAAGAAGCAGATAGGATTAATGGCAACAACTGTGAATCTAAAGAGACTCCTCCAGAGTCTTCCAATGACCATTCAGTTAGATTTTGGACTAATGGTGGATTATTAGGACTTGAGCCATCAAAACCTCCTGACTTTACCATGCCAGGTCCTTTAAGTAAAGTGTCTCCAACTACAAAAACTGAGACAGATGGAGGTCAATATCATAATTCAATGCTAAAGATCAATGGATGTACGGTGGAACAAGATTTATTAGCAGAGGTTGCCAAAGAGATTGAAAAGGAACCAACTTCTAGATGCTTAACGTCAAGTCGTGAAGATCAAGCTCCTATTACTGAGAAGGCATCTGGTATTCATAAGCTGAGTAATGAACTCTGTCCAATTGATGGAAGTAGTTTGGAGGAAATCAGGGTACTTGCACCAGTTTGTGTTCCCCCGGCTGCCCCTGATTCCAAAGCAACTTCAATTGAAACGAATCTTGGAAAGAGTGAAAATTCATCTCGTGTTTTTGGACTTGGTCAAATGTTACGAAGGAGTAGCTTTCGCCAGAAGGTTTCTTTTAATGAGAAATCTGTACCTGCTGGTTCTCTGAAATCTGACAGATTGGAGCAAAACGGACAAAATAGCATAATAGATCAGTCACTTCCTGAGACAACCTTCGAAGAGAGAGTTGATTATGGATATCCTATTGATTCACTCCCTCCTTCACCACCACTTGGACATATGAAAATATCTTTCCATTCAGTTAGTGGGAATGAGACGCCCAAACTGAAACTGAGATTCCCTGATGGTACTAATCGTTATGAATGTATAAGGGATATGTTTCCTTCATTCCAGTTGGTTCCAGAGCCTTCCATTCCACTGCATGATTCTGGATTCAACTCAGATGATAATGACACTTTCTGTAGGTCATCTCCATATCTGTCTGATGACTGTCCTAGCCCTCATTTAGAGTATAACTCTGATGAGTGGGAATCTGATGAAAGTCCTGAAAGCAGTGACCACGGAGTTCATGATTTTTCCCACAACTCATCATCAACAGAATCGCTAAGTTCACAAGAATTTACAGGATTATCAAATAATGATGTCAATGTGGCTAGTGGAACACGCATTCAAAATGGTGCAGAGCCTTCTTTATCTGGGCGTTTTCTTGATTTTCCGAGTTTTGATAGTGTGAGCCCAGTACTTCACAAAGAAAGTAGCCGGGTTTCCACTGTCGATAATATTGTAAAATCTCAAGGTCAAGCTGAAGCACCGCCGCCGCCGCCGCCGCCGCCTCCTCTGCCGCCTCTTCCTCAAGTGCAGCAGCAGATCTCAAAACTGCAGTTGGATATGAAAAATGGGACACGCAAGGACACATCTGGTGATGCTGGACAAACTAAAGGTCTAAACCTTTCAGAATCAATCATCTCCCTGCAACCTAGGCCCTCCCAAATGGAGCAAAAACTAACAGATCATGATGATCACAAGTCTGATGGAAATATTTCACAAAAGCTTGCCATTCATAGGGTACTTGTATGATTTTTCATTCTTCTTTTGCATTATATTTAATTAATTAGCCATGGTGGGTAATGGGGTCGGTTCAGATATTCACTAGTTCAATCCATCATGCAGCTAGGTCAGAAGAAGTTAAATGGGAAGAAGGAAGCACATCAAGAGGTAATGGGAAAAGAATTGGCTGACAAGGATGATTTCCTGCATCAAATCAGAACCAAAGTGAGTATTTTCTCATTGCATGATTTTTCTGTTGATGAAATTGACTTTTCTGAGCTTATCTTTGAGTTTGTATTTAATTTCTTTAGATATTTGATGCATACTATGGTAAAGTAGAAGGGCATATGTTACCTGACAGTCTAAATTGAAATTAAAGGGAATAAATTCCTTTTATCTACTCGTCTTAGCTGGTTACCATGTTCGTTTCAACAAAATGACCATTTGTAGCTCCATTTTCTATTTGCAAAGGTGAGCTGGGGAGATCAGAAATTGCATTATATGGTGATTTGGTGCATGTATTTCACTTGTGAACCTGTCATGAGATGTATATTTTGAGTTTTGATAGATCTTACAATTAAAATAGGGAAATTTGGTAAAAAATCTCTGTTTGAAAATTTAATTAGCTTAAAGGACTTAAATTTGAGTGCAGACAAGTATAATCCGTGAGTGCAGCATATTTTCCACTATGTATAAAGGACTTTTGTATTGATGATTGTTGCATATCATTAATGATATGTTGTCACAACAGAATATATGTTGCACTCATAGATCATAGTTATACTCGTTCAAATTTAGGTCTTTTTAGTCAATTAAATTTTTAAACAGGAACTTTTAACCAAATTTCCCATTAAAATAATGAGTCTGAAAATTCTTACTATTGTATAAAGCTGCCTCGTTTATTTGTTGCTGCACTAGGACGTACATGAACTAAGTTCTGTCTTTTCCCCCCTTAATTTTTTTTTTTAATCACAGCAACAATAAATTTATCCATTATCATTTTGTTGTTGCCGCAGTCCTTCAACCTGAGACCTACAGTGACAGGAAAGCCAAATGCTAATACTAGTCCCCCTAAAAATGTCAAGGTTACCGCAATTTTGGAGAAAGCAAGTGCAATACGTCAGGTATTCACGGTCTTGTCCTTTGTTCTGTCACTCCTTTCCTTTTTAGGTCTTCGTACTTATTTTCACTTCATATCCAACTTATTATCATAACTGATAATGTTTCCAGGTTGTTGCTAGTGATGACGGAGAAGATGATGATAACTGGAGTGACACCTGAATTTTTGGTAGTTGGTCTATAGGTGTTTTGCATCCTCTGCTCCTTCAACATTCTCAAGTTAAGAAGTTAGCTGAGGTGTTGCTCTTTGTACTCAAGTGTGAATAACTCTTGTTTATTGGCAACATTGGCAATAATCTTTAGCCCAGCGGTTAGTTTATCCAATTTTATTCTCAGTTGGATTTTTCCCCTCATTTTATTTGTCAGTTTTACACGGAAATCATGTGCCAGGTAATCAAGTTGAGCCAATGTATTCCCAAACTTCAACTTGAGACTGTTGTTTATACAAGACGTCAGAAAAAATTTGATGGTTCCGAGTTCTTGATCTTTCTAACTTCATTGCAAAGTGTAATGTGTAATATTTCTTGATCAATGTTCTTTATCTTGTAAATGTAGGAAATGTTAGAAGTGGTTTCTCTGAATATTTTACCTACAAATTGCTTGAATCACTTGGCTAGTGTCAGTTCAGAACTTATTTTCTATGTAATAATCATGCCTCCTCTTCAAAATGGCACAGTTGGAGCCTGCCCCACTTGGCCGAAGAGGTCCACTGTAATGTTTAATTGTAGTTTGGCTCAACCATTTTAGAGTTAATGGTTGTTCTGTGGGGCTTGTTTGATACACGGAATTAATTATTGAGGTGCGGTGTTTTTCAAGTGATCTGGATTTTCTATCGCGCACAGTCAAAAGCACATTTAGCGTGATTTATCGCACAATGATGCTAAAAACTAATTCTTTTATGATTGATTATGTAATCTCACGCAATATCAATGTGGTTAATGAGTTTATAAGAATGCTTCAGTGTTATGACCATTGCAGTTTTACTGTCTTCTGGAGCTATTGTCATCCACACAGCTTTTCATTCCGCCTCTAGCTTTATAGACTTGTTTGAAGAGCACGCTTGTTCAAGCATGATATATCTGATTAAAAGCACATTTAGCGCGATTTATCACACAATGATGCCAAAAACTAATTCTTTTATGAACGCAGTATCAATGGGTTAATGAGTTCATAAGAATGCTTCAGAGTTATGACCATTGCAGTTTTTACTGTCTTCTGGAGCTGTTGTCTTCCACACAGCTTTTCATTCCCCCTCTCGCTTTATAGACTTGTTTGATGAACGCAGTATTGGCTATTCCAAAACTGTGTTATGGCTGAAGAGAACGCGTGCTCAAACATGATATATCTGACCAAATCATTTTTTGTTTGGGGGTCAAATTAGAAAGACAGACACTAACTGTCTAAGGTTACAGGAAGATCTCGAATCTATGACCTCCTGTGCAGCGAACTTTGATATCACTAGGTTACAATGACAAACAAATTTTGAATTTTTCACATCTACAGCAAAAAATGAATGCCTCGCAGGTACATAGAGAAAAGATAGTAATTGGTATTAAAATAAGATGTAGACTCGATATTTAATTAACTTCAGGTGTTTTATTCTATGTGCGTAAATGCATGAATTCGAAGGATTCAATTTGATCTGAAAGCACGTTTATAAGAAGTGAAGTTGATTACACTCATGCAAGGATCCATAATTGACTCAGCGCTTTTGAAACAAAGTGCTTTTAATTATTATCAATGTCATTGCCTTTTGCAGTTCTCTTTTAGAAGCTTTGCCCCTTTTCTGCAGCACAAAATAGCTCAATGTAATGATTAAAGGCGACAATATTGGTCAGGCTCAGCATCTCCACCACTGAGGTCGGACACATACAAATCCGTAGAATATCAGTAACAACAACGAATAAGAAAACCAACTCACATGAAGGTTGTATGATATTTTTCTAATGTTTGAAACTTCAAACTTCAATGCTACCTCTGCTCTTAAATGTAAGATCTAGCTTGTATTACAAACTGTACTACGAACTAAATTTTATATTTAAAACTAGAGGTAGTTACTTTATAATATTGTGGGTGTTAACTGTTGTGTGCCTGTGCATGTTTATTGGGACACATTAGTTATTTTGATATAGCTATTAATTGAATGAGATTTGATTATTGTTAGGTTGAATGGTAACTTTTCCAAAAGCGTGTTTTTGCATTCACATAAATTGGAACTCAATACCTCATGCTCAAGCGGCTAAAGCCCCTTTCATTAAGACTAATGCCGATTGGTAGTACAGACAGTTTTCTTAATAATGTCTGAACAATAATCTTAATTTCTCCCTCCCATTTGAGTCTAACTTGTTTCACAAAAATATTAATGAAAGAAGCTTTAATTTATTGGCTAAGCAAATATTCAAAACCGAAAAAAAAAGGAATTTTATCATAATAACTTGGAAAATTAAAAAAAAAGTACTGAAAAATGTCAACTTTAAAAAGAAAAAATAGTTTCAACTAAGAACACTGATCTTTTTGTGAAACTTTCAAAATGTACGATTCTTTATTATAATTAATATTTTTAGAGGGTCCTTTAAATGTCATTTGTCATTTATTTTTGAAGTCATGAATATCCACATGATTAAATTTCTTAAATGATAAACAGAACTAATATGTGTTTGTTTTTCAATAAGCACATATACCAACCCATAAAAATAAGATAAACATTGCTTTTTCCCGGCTAGTTAGCAAGTTCAAGTTACTTATTATTAGAGGTGGTAATCCAGGCTAACTTACGCGAGTTGCGGGTTGGCTCGCAGAGGGTTAGGATTGAAATTTGGAAAGGCTTCGTATAATGATAGGTTTGCTAACCCACCATTTTGGGCCCACCAACTATTATTATCTTTTTTAATTTTTTATAAATTTTTTCTCATATAATATAAACAAAAAATAATACAATATTTATATTTCTTTCAAACACTGATTAAAAACACCAAATAAATAATATAGGTATTTTTTTTAAATTTTTTAGATAGGATATAAAATATAATAATATGATTATAATAATCCATAAAATTGAAAAAATAAAAAAAATTAATGCAGCTTAACCCACGGGTTGACAAACTAACTTGTGGTGGGTTGTATGTTTCATGGTGAGGGTTAAAAAGTTTCATTTACTAACCGGCTAATTCACCATTTTTAGGGGGTTGGCAAATTGAACTTATAGATCAAACCCATATTGCCAACTCTACTTGTTATGGCCCTTTCCTCACTGAGTAACCGATTAACTAGTAGGAGATCTCAAAATGTCAATTTTTGGCAAAGGAAACTCAAGGTTGTGATTAAGTTAGAGGAATTAGCGGGTAATCACAAAATCACCAGAAATTTAAGGAAGAGAAAAACACAAGACTTACTGAGTACCGCAAGGTTCAAGAAGCAAATATAGTAAACTGACCTCATAAATACCTCTATAAAAATGTAGCATTAATCGACTTCCTCCATTCTTGAAACACCGAAGGCAAAATTGAAGAAATAGGTAATTAAGATTCACAGATATGGCTAAGTCTTCTATATTCATCGTCCTGGCCTCTGCCATTTGCTTCTTCTCCTTCTTCGCTTCCTCTCACGGCCAAGATGATAGAAACCACTTCGTCGTGCATGGCACTGTTTATTGTGACACATGCAACGTCCAATTCGTCACCAAGCTCAGCGCTCCTATGGCCGGTACGTAAATTATACTCCATCTGATCCTAAATATAGGAGCTTAATGCCTTATTTATAAATATTTAAAAAAAAAAGTTAAGTAGTGTTAGTTTTTCTGAAATACTCTTCGGATGATGAAAATTTCCTTTAATATGTGCAATTGATAAGAATAATTAAAAAAAAGAGATTATAAATTTGAGAGATAAATTGAGATTTTAGATTTAGGGGGTGTTTGAATATCATTAAAAGTACTTTTAAAAAATATTTTTTTTGTAAATCAAGACAAACTCCACATATTTACTTTATATACCGTAAAATCATTTTTAAAACTATAGTTTGGCTTTCATCTAAACACTCCCTTATGATTAAAACAAACCTGTAACTAATTCTTATATTTAAAACTCGAGAAATAATTGAGAAGATCCAAGTTAACAAGCCCTATCTTGAAGCTATGTGGTTCACATCCAAAGTTCACAACACACACACACACACAATGAATTGTGTTACTGATGAAGTGTGAGAATGATATTATGTGTGAAGGCGCAAAGGTTAAACTGCAATGTGTGGACTTTGCAAACGAAAAGAACGTAACATTAAGCAAGGAGGCGACGACGGACGAGAAGGGTTCTTACAGCATCGAAGTGGAGGGCGACCACGCGGAGGAGGACTGCGAGGTGACTCTGATTTCCAGCAGCAGAAGCGACTGTGCCAAGTTGGACAGTGACAAACATCTGAACCAAGCAGCCAAAGTTAGCATCACAAACGACAATGGCCTTATCCACTCTCCTGATCGTATCGCCAATGCTCTGGGCTTCATGAAGGACCAACCTCTGGCCGAGTGCGCCCAAGTTCTTAAAGAGCTCAGCTTGAACCCTGATGGCACTGAGATTGAAGATAATTCCTGAACATGATTCATTACTTAATTAATTATTGTACTTTCATAGTTCATCCATCCATCCAACGAATGATCGATCCTTGTGCTTGCTTCCGATGAAAGTTGTTTGATTATTTTTCCGACAATTATACCGTTGAGAATAACTAGGCTATCTGCTATATATGGTTTCTTGTTGCAATATTGCACTGAGTCTGAGGAATGATGAGACTTATTTGTTATAGATATCAAATTTTATATCTATATTGATGGTACCATATTGCTGTTTCTGTGTGTTCTTTTTAAGGTTTTGATTTGACTAGGGTATGAGAAAAACTAGAGTTTGGGACTTATAAACAGCGTTTGGTTTCCATTATATGGAGTAGAAATCTTTCATGAATGTAAATAGTAGAGTTTGATGATTATTTTGTCGATGGATGAATTCACGGCTTGCTAATTAATTTGGATAATTTGCTTTCCTCCCGTTTAGCTGATTTAGTTTGTGGGAAAAACCCTTTCTTTTTTTTTTTCTTTTTAATGTGCGATCGGTTTGGCTTCTTTTTAAGCAGACTGATTATTTTGGGACTTAACAAGTACGGTAAGATTTACGATTTAAATAGAAGATGATTTATTACTTTTAACAGCTATATGCCCTTTAACAAGCCAACAAATGTAACAACCAGCGGATAGTAGTCTAACAAGCTAAAAAGCCCACTATATTAACACTACTGATGATTAGAAACCTTTTAATCTTAGTCAAATCGTGATTTTGATCGAAGTAGTATGAGAGTAGCTTGGTCTTGAAAGTTATTGAAAAAAAAACACACTGAAAACTGGTTTCCAACATAATAATAGTCTTATTATTTAAAGATTAATGCCCCCTTTGGTACGCTTGAACTATGGGTGTAATGGAGAAGATGGCTTCGACAGATTTGCACTACAAATATGGAGAAATGGTGATGGAATATACGACAACAACGTCCTTGCCTCAGTCAAACCAGGAATAGTGTTTGGCTTCGATTCGATTTATGTGATTTAGGGCTTATTTGTATCTACTTCTATTACGTGCTTATTCTATATGTGACGAACGTGAAAGATCTCATACTTCCTTTTTTCCTCTGCAATCTAATTCATTCTGATCTTTGATTGGGTTTATGTTTCTGATCCAAGCTCTTTGATTGGGTGAGTGGGCGTGGGTCGTTTGGCAGGAGAGGGAGATTTTTGTTTGTTTGTTTTATTTTTAAGAAGGATATTTTGGTCACTTTATATCATGAATACACAAATCAATTAAAATGTTTGCTCCATTTGGCATAAAGTGCATTTGGTTTCATGTTCCTTAAAAGAATGGGGAAAGAGGGGGAAAATATACTAGTTTGAAGCATTTTCTTGTTTAATCATCTCTTATGTATCCCAGAATTGTTACTTCATTCATTTATGAGAATGGAGCTGTAACTAGAATTAGTGATATTTGACCATTATTTTTATTCATATTTAACAATAATTCAAAATCATCAAATATGCGGCATTATACTTGTTTTGACCCAATTCTTAACCATCAAATATTTAAAAACCATCAAGCATTTAGGTGACAGAATTGGTTACCATGTTACTGCATTGACATACTTCACGATTTTGACCAAATAACAATTATGTGATAAATACTCGATGGTCAAACTATACTATCTCCGGTGCTTGGTGTAAAAGCTAATTGACTAATTTGAGTATATTAAGAAAATTAGTTAAGTTGGTTATTTGTAATAGATAAGTGTTGTCTTCCTTAAAATATCATTTCTAATCAAGTGTATTGGCTAGAACTATTATGATAAGACTACTTGAGAAAAAATAGATAAATATAAGACATAAAATGGATTGGGGTTTTATACTTAGAATCAAAATAAAATTTAAACGAGCTCTTATATTAAAGACCGACAATGTTGGAGTACCAACTTTAGTCATTTTGGTTATTGTCCTATTGGATGGACTTTTGCATTAAAAAAAAAAAAGTCAAATGCAAACCTGATGACAATAAAATATTGATACATCATTTAAATAAATAAATAAATAAAGCAGCCGCCCAACATTACAGTGTATTAGTAACCTAAAGGCCCAAAAAAAAATTTGTGGGATCAAATTCCATCTTGACTGCTTGTCTTAAATAATTTGTTACTCATTAGTTCTGAAACTCTAACCGATAGCTAAAGTGTAAGAGTAGTTGTCGGAGCTCTAACAACTAGTACAGGTGACTGTAAAGGATGAATTTCCTTCTTTTTTTCCCCCTTTAAAATCAGTGAAGGACATTTACATAAATGTGCTCAAAATTTTAATCCCATTAGAATTCACTGGAACTTTATTGGCATTTAATTTCCTCATTTCGGTAAACTTTATTGGTATTACACCATTTTAGTAGTCCTTAAGTACCAGTTTGGTCATAAACAAAAGATCTATTGTGTAATGTAAATTATACTGCAAAATGAGTCTTATATTTAAAACTGCACAAATATCATTCTCCCCTTTATAATTAAGAACACCAACCGCACAAAATTGACTCTTGTAAATAAATGAAAAACAAAGAAAATATTTTGAGTGCAAAGTTCATAAATTCTCAACTTAGCAAACTTAATTATGACAGTCATCACCTTAACTCCGGATCCAAATATCAATATAAATAAATATATATATATATATATATATATATTCCCAGACAAATAACTCGCAAAGGCTTAAGTCATATAGAATTACGAAAAGATCGGATCATCACAAAACCGCCGGAGAAGTGAGGGAAGAAAGAAAGAAAGAAAATTAATGACAACCTCAGAGAGTAAATTGAGACGAACAAACAAATTAGTAATTTGACTTTGACCCTTTTGAAGAATCAAAACTGTTGGAAACTGACTTCATATCTCTCATAATAATAGTCAGATATCTCAAAGGCAAATCAAACAAAAACAAATTCACACAATGGCCAAATCTAACCTATTCATCATTGCCTCAGTCCTCCTTTGTTTCTTCGCCTTCTTCTGTTCTGTTAATGGCCAAAAGGAAGAAGAGCTGGTTGTGCAGGGCTCAGTTTATTGTGACACATGCGACGTTCAATTTGTCACCCGGCTCAGCGAGCCCATGGCTGGTAATTAGTTCTGACTCCTTCCATTATGCTAATAAGAGATAAAAGATAAATAACTAATTTACAGATATCAAAAAGATTAGTTATTTATTATAACAAATGTGTATTGATTTTTTTGAAATACCCCATTTAATAATGGACAAAGAGCCTCGAATTAATACCTCTTGTAATACATGCCCCAGTCTCCTAAATGTTTTTTTATCTTGATTATTTGATTCTACACAAAATCAGTGACAATTTGATATCTTGCGGGCTGGAATGAATGAAGTGATGTTTTCAGTTTGTTTCTAAGTTTATCAACTCAAGTTACAGGCGTAAAGGTGCGCTTGAGGTTAGTTTTTTAATATATACAATTAATGGGGATAGCTTGAAAACAGTTACAAATATAAAAGACAAAAGACTAAAAGTCAATCTCTCAATTAACTGTCACGAGAATAATATATATGAGGAAGAATGTCCTAATATTGACAAAGTTGAACAATGGTGAAGGTGCGACCGTACGCTTGCGGTGCATGGACGCTGAGAACCCAAAGAACATAACGTTGGACAAAGAGGGGACAACGGACGAGAACGGAGTGTACAAGATCGTAGTGGACGGCGACCACGCCGAGGAAGTGTGCGAGGTTGTGCCGATAAAGAGCAGCAAAGAAGATTGTGCAGAGTGGGACGAAGCCAAACACCTGCAACAATCTGCAAAGATCAGTATCACCAACAAGAATGGCATGAAAGCAAGGCTTCGCAGTGCAAGCCCTATGGGTTTCTCAAGGAAGCAACCTCTTGCTGAGTGCGCTGAGGCTCTCAAAGAGATTGGATTGAAGCCTGATGGCACCCCTTTAGATGATAAATAAGCACTACTCATTCTTGTTTCTTCCATATGAGTAGGGTTAGGGTTAATTCTCTACTATATAGAGAGAATATAATCCTGGAGTTTTGTGAATGCTCTCGAAGAAAACCGTTTTTTCCCCCTTTAATTTCAAATTATTTTACAATAAAGGAGTTTTTCCCCCCTTGATCTTTGATTTACTAGGAGGATAACTTATGTATTTTGATGCCACAAGTAACGATATTATACTCTTAGACCAAATGAATTAATACATTGAATGAACAGAAGAGATTGAGTATCGAGTGAAGTATGCAGAGAAAGTATAGAAATGATCCATCTCTTTAGACATGCAAGCAAAAGAGTGTGTATCATATGTTGTCCTTTACTAATTTGACTTTTGCTCCATGGCGGATCTGTTTTGCTTGCTTGCTTTGTGAAATAATGATGGATATGTAAAATAGTTTATCTATTTGTATTTGTAAATTTTGATGTTAATTTAACCATGTAACTTTATAAAAATAAATGAAAACAACTTCAATTTAATTTATAAAAATCTGTAATTAAATTGAAAAACTAAAAAATAAGACAAAACAATGCCAACTTTCAGGGAGTTGGGCTGAAATTTCAGCCCAGCTTAAAACGGGTCAGCATGTTTTTGGCGGGTTAACCGTATTTGCACCAAGTCCAAAATCAAATGAATTAAAAGAGGAATAGAAAGAGAAAGTGTCTTTTTATTTTTATTTTATAAAAAGACAATTTTATTCAATATAAGTTAAATGATTACGTAAAAAGATCAGCCAATTACACTTGTTAAATTTAGAATAAGTCAGTAAGGGAGACTCGAACCACGGTACAAGAAAACCAACCAAAACGCCACCATCCATGACACTTCAGGCTCTGTTTGGATAGCACCCCAGACCATGGTTTGGGGAAAATGCTACCCAAACAGCCTCTCCAAAAACCAAAACTATGGTTTTGGGTCAAAACCATGGTTTTGGAAAAAGCAAAATTTTTTTGCTTTTGAAGAAAAAGGGAGAGTGTGAGGGCCTATATGATATGTATCTTGTTATTTTTTTATAAACATATTTTTTTATAAATATATTTAATCTTATATTTTATAAATATATATAGACATTAATTATTTATTAATTATATTATCTTATGTATTATTAATTATGTTGGTAAAAAACATATTATTAACAATTTTATTTCTTCAAATTAAAATATATCATAAAATCTATTTTTTCTGTAATTATCATATTAACTTATGTTTTTTTTTTAGTAATTTGTATATATAAAAAGTGCTTCTGATAACAACTATCTAAACACTCTCACTTCTCAGAATCACTTTTTTACAAAATCTATTCTTCACAGAATCTATTCTCCAGAATCACTTTTCCAAACCACGGTTTGGTTTCATCCAAACACACCCTCAGAGAGCTTTGATGACCATAACCATCCTTTGCACTTACTATTGTGTGGAGCAAAAGCCATCCAAATATGCCACCAAGGTATTAAAAAAGTCTCGGGCACGATGCACTAGAGAGCAAAATTTTGGCATGAAAGTCAAAGTAGAAACATGCCAATGAACATGCAGCAAGGCTAACGTGTGAGCAAGTAGCGGAAAGAAAGTGTCTTCCTAGGATATGATTGAATTATATTTTAAATTTTCAATAATGTTGCGGGTAACATCAATAACTCCATAGATTATAAGACATTGATTTGATTGATACATGCATGTGGAGAGGGAGATTAGGCAAGTGCATTCAAATTAAAATTCGTTAATGTACATACTTTCTTTTAATTATATTATCTTTACTTCTTGACATAAAAGTTAGTTGAGATGAATTTGATCTTAAATATAAAAATGCAATCTATGTTATGTCTTAAATTTATATTTTTTCTGAATGATCTATATTGATTGTAAGAGATTCCTACCGAGAAGTAGTTTTCAATGCATATGATTAAATATAATACTTTATGAAAATCAACACATATTTATTACAGATTACAAATAACTAATTTAAGTAATTTTTTTTAATAACCTCAAGTTAGTTATAGCTTTTATTGATATTGTAAGAACCTTGTTATTATCACATGACTGATGCTTGACTTATTGGATATGAAATTATTGCACATGGCTCCTCTCGAAAGTCCAGTTCATCAAATTTTAAGAAATTACATCGCTAAGTGTGGAGAGGAGCACAGGAACTTTAATTAATATTCTTGATATTCTCTATATATATGTGATGACTATTAATTTTTTTAATAATCTTACGACTAATTTTCAGTATGTGACTAATTTTTTTTAATCATATGAACGGCACAATAATTTCATAAATTTATGGTTTTCTTATGTGTAAATAACTTATTATTCTGATCCTTAAACAAATATTCTCCCTAAAAGCTTTTCAGGTCGTTTAAAATCGCCACCAACATTAAAAAAATGCAGGAGATGCATTGGCCTTTTATAAATAATCAAAAGACCAAACACTTTCTCTAAGTCTAAAAATAAAATGCTAACGTACGACTTGTTCAGGCAATAATGTGCATCTCATATGCGGGTGAGAGAGCCAAGTTTATGCAATTCATCCATGTGAGAGGATTGGCAACTTAAAGAAACCTTTTCCAAAGGAACTTTCATTTCTTCTCAATATCTTTTGGTTAATTAACTTCAAGTTGAAAATTTCACTCTTAATTTTTTTTGGTAAAAAGGACAAAATGATATTAAGATAAATAATCACAATGTCCCAAACAATAAAGACCTACAACTTTCATAAGAAAACTTTTAAAACAAAGGAAGAGAAACTACTCTAGAATTACAACTCCTAACACAAGATGAAAAGATAAAAAATATCCATCCAAACTGGATCAGAAGGACGAGGCTTGGGTGGAATCCTGGTAAAACATTTTTGCTTGTAGCTCACAGCCTCACAGTTAATGATTGCATTTCATGATCCGCAAATACTCGAAAACTTTTAATTCGAAGAAGAGAGGCTCTTAGGCATAGCCAAAGAAAGATCTAACCCTTGTAATTTCTGCTTCTCCATAAAAATTCTTGTAATGATGATCCATTAAACCATATGATTCCATGATTGTGAGTGATCTTCTATTTCTTGAATTTATAAAGAATGACATCCCATCTTTCTTTACTTAGAAAGTTATAGTTTAAAACAGGTTGCACAGGTGACTAATGATTATTAAGATCAGACTGAGGAGAAAAGACTAACTGAGAGAGAGTGTGTGTGCCTTGTATCTCTTTGATAGTTGCAATCAAAGATACCTTCTTTCCCTAGTGTAGGATCATATTTCGCTTTTGCCAAATGGCATTTAAAATACAAATGATTTTGCAGGCATTATTAACATATCCATGCTTCACCAGAGTAGGAAGAGTATTCTTTAACCAAACAGTAAAGTGTTGAAAGCTATCATGATGCAATTTTATGTTACGCATCCAAATGGTAGAGCTCGAGAGGAAGGGCACGGAATGAAAAGATGCTCTAAAATCTCCTCCACTTGACAACCAAAAGCCCAGAGGGAAGAGATATTAAGGTGATGAGCTCTTGAAACATCACAAGAACGGATACCATGTCTAAAGCATTTCCATGTAAAAAGCGACATCTTTTAAGGCAAAGGAAATTTCCAAATGAATTTTCAGAAATCATCAATGACCACATTATCAGTATTAACTAAAATGGAAGCTCCGTTTTTCACCTTGTAGATGCCCATAAAATTTCCTTGCCATGCCAGTTTATCCGATTAATGTGAATGAGAGGGAAGAAGACAGAATATAATGGCTGAAGCTGAGAAATAGGACATAGTTAATCAATCAAGCTGGATGAGTTCCAGTCAACTTTACTCTTAGATGATCTGCCATGCGCTAAAAAGTCTGCTACATATCATAAAGTTGATTTGTCTCTCTCAGTCTTTACTTAACATCAGTAACATTTACTTCTACCCTACTTATTTGTTTTTTTCCCGCATTTAAAGATCTAATTTGTTTGATTGTTTGATAATCATCCAATTCATCCTCACTAACGAGTTAACCTTTAAAAAATTTTTTTTTGAAGAAATAAATAAATTGCCAATTTTTTAGGATGCCAATTGTTTTAACTCGCGCCACCTGCGAGTTATGATGCGCCAACCCACAAACTGCGGGCAACTTGTCGATTATTTCCTCTTGTCCTCTTTGTAAACCTTCCTGGCATGGTGGATCTCGGGTCGTCGTCTCATGCATTGAAAATGCAGCACGCGGGCATTGGCCACAAAATACTAATATTTCTGATTTGAAATATAAAACTCATTTTCTAATGTAAATTAGAATCAGAAGAGTATATTATATTTAAAGACCAAATACTATATTCAGTGGCAAATATAAAAAAGTTCCTGCGCATGTGAGAAATCAGAGCTTCACATGTATGAAATATTTAAAAAGTACTTGAATTTGTTCTCATCAATCTCTATGGTAACTACTGTTTAACACATTCCTATGTAGCTACTACTCTAGTCCTACTTATAATGCATTTCTAGTATGTTTCATACAGACAAAAAAAAAACACCTTAAATTTTATTAATTCTCATTTAAAATTGGGATAATTAATCTGAAAGTCCTTATAGTTCCAACCAATTTTGAATCAGGTCCCTATAATTTTTTTCTTTTTATTAGGTCCTTATACTTTTACCTATTTTTAATTAAGTCCTTGCATTTATTTTTCTTTTTATCAAGTCCTTATAAGTTCACCTTATTTTTAATTAAGTCCCTATATTTTTTATTCTTTATTTTATAAATTCTAATAGTACTATTCTATAAACATAAAATAGTATTTATTATTTAATATTTAATATTAGTTTATAAAGAATAATATTCTAAAAATAATAAATTATTATAATAATTTTTTTTCAAAAAAAAATAATTGTTCTACAAAATTTTCCTGAATTAATTAATTATATTACTTATCTTTTATTATATAGTTATTAATTCAATTCAATTATTAATATTTTATATTTCAGTATAATTTATTTAAT